CAGAGGGAGAGGGAGAGCAACAGAAAAGAGAAAGAGAAAAAGAAGAGGGAAGAAGAGAGAGAGAGAGAGAGAGAGAGAGAGAGAGAGAGAGAGAGAGATAGTATCTGAGTGCATGCTATGGAGCCCATGTGGAGGTCAGAGGACAGCTTTATGGAGTCTGTTCTCTACTTCCTCCTTTAAGTGGGTTCTGGGAACTGATGAAACTCCAGTCATCAGCTTGAGCAGCAGCAAACCTTTATCTGTTGAGCCGTCTTGCTGGCCTCGGCAAGCCATTTTGATCTAGAAACCTGAGTCCATCTCATCTGGGAACTCTTGAGTCCTGTCTTGACAGTTTCTTCATTTACACTTTCTGAATCTATTATGAGTCACATAGCAGACTTCCTACAATACACCAATTCTCAATCTTTTTACTTTTTCTCTTGCAGTTTTCATCTCTGTTTTTACTTTCTGTTTTTACTGTCTTACTTTTACTTTCCATACATTCCTTAGATTTATCTATTTATTTATTTATTTATTTATCTATTTATTTATTTATTTTTCGGTCTTTTTGAGACAGGCTCCCTGTAGCCCCAGCTGTCCTGGGTCACTATGTAGACCAGGCTGGCCTTGAACTCACAGAGATCCGCCTGCCTCTGCCTCCCGAGTACTGGGATTAAAGGTGTGCGCCACCATGTCCGGCTTTAGATTTATTTTTTAATGTGGCTAATAATTCTAGTTTTCTTTCTTTTTAAGTTTTCTGTTATTATTAGCATGGATGCAACATCTTTTCTCTAAATTTACATACTATTATTTTGTGCATTTCCTTTTCAGTCTCTTTCTTTTGGTCTTTCCTGATGCATGTGATCATCTTCTCTCTTCCCATTTAGAAGGGAAACAACAGAATATTGTTTGGTAGCTGTGTTTATATGGACAAAACTCATCAATTAATGCTCACTGTGGTAAATATCAGGTGGATTTCTGGCATTCCACCAAGGTATCCCATGTTACTGTGTGCAGGGGCCCTTTCTCTGGTTGGCTGGTTTCTCTAGAAGACAAACCTCTTACCTTCTCACTTGACACATTTATAGTCAGGCAACGTCAGTAAGGAGGCCTGGCAATCTCACCCTGCATGTATGTGGACTTTGACCAAAGTTCCCTGTCTTCAGTTCAGAGCCTTAATTCAAATAGAAATGCCCCAGTCCAGAGCCTGCCTCTCTGGCCTTACTCCTCAGAGGAAACGCTTTAGAAATCATGCTGTGTAAGCAGAAAAATTGTTGGATGGACTAAATGGGCATAAACAATCTTAAACAATTCTTGTACTCTGGGCCCCATCCTGTACTCCTTTCCTACATATCTAGTTCCCGAGTCATTCAGAGTTCTGCAATATGCACTGTTTTGCTTATTTTCTCACTTTCAATCCCCTCTGTTTGGGGCTTAGATTTAATCTACTCATTCTACTAAATTGGTTACCACTTACTTAGCTGCTTCAAAATCTGTTGAGGCCTCTCAATTATTGTTTCTATATCTTTGGGATTTTTTAAAATGTTTTTGAAGTAAATTATCATACAGCAAACATTTCAAAGTAAATACAAATCTCTGGAGCAGGGATTCAACCATCATTTAAAAAATTACTCCTTATGATATGCACAAATTTCCTAGGCTCCTTTCAACCCAATCAAGATTAACCATCACTGTGATTCAGATTGTACTTACAGCAAATAAAGTAGATTCATAAGAAAAAAAAAGTTCACAAATTATGAGTTTACAGCTTGCTAACATTTTGCAAACTGAACACACCTTTGACACTAGCTGGCAAAACAAGAAACAGCACATGTCTGGCACTCCAAATGCCTCCGTGGGCTCCAGTCACGAAGTGCAATTACAGAACTCCTCTCCTTTGTTTTTTAGTGAGCTTCTCAAATTTCATCATTTCCCACTCAAATCCAGACCCCTCCCCTACCCATACCTCCCCCTATCCCCAACCAAACCCTATGCACTCTGCCATACATGCTGAATCCTATTCATTCAGGTGTTTGTACACAAATGTCCTTCTGTGTACATGCGTCCACTGGAGTGCAGTCAGCCCATTCAGTGGTCATATGTAAGTCATACTCTCCCTCATCCAGCAGCAATCAGTCTCAAATTGAGTTTGTTATCCTTTATGGTAGGAAGACTCCAAGATGACTCCCATGACCCTTATTCCTATGTTCACATTCCTATGTAGTAAAGGCTCCACCAGGGTCCTCATCCTGGGAATGTCTTGCTTTCCCTTCATACTGCATGTTGTCATCTGTAACAGTGGGTCTGCTGTTATCACTATCATAGTAGGCACATGGAAAAAAGCAGGAATGGATATGCCACATCTTGATTTTAAAACAAATACAATGATTTAAAGGTAAGCCTGCTAAAGACATTTCTAACAAGAAATCTCAATAATTGTGGAAAGTTACTAACAGCAAGAAAAAAGCACTATGTTAAACAATAAGGCCAGTAAAGGTTGATTCAGTTTCAATTCAGTTCCAGTAAGACCTTACAAGAACTGCCCTTGTTATTTTAAGTATAATCAATTCTTCCTACTTTTCTTCCATCAAAGGCCCCGAAAGCTGCAAGTGAGAAATAATTTCCTTACCTGGTCACAGAATCTACTAAGAATGGTGCTGGTGGGGAGATCAGTGAGAATCCATCTTTATTATCATATCCCTCTGTCCCTGCTGAAGATGTTCCACATCCTGTGAGCTGATTGGAGATGGTGGTGCTCTGCTGTGGGAGATGCATATCTTAACACAGAGCTAACAACACCTGCCCCATCAGTAGCTTCACATCAGCTACACTGACTATGGCATGAAGGAAGAGGACTTTAATGGTCCTGGTTGATTTGCTTACTTTTAAAACTACCCTCAGATTTTTGTTTTGTTCAAATCCTACAGCATTTACAAACAGAAACGTTGACCCACACATCTGAAGCCATTAAATTCAGTTAACAAAGCTTTGATAATGACACTGGCATTTATAAAAAAAACAAGGGGGCTGGAGAGATGGCTCAGCAGTTAAGAATACTGGTTGTGCTTGCAGAAGACCCAGGTTTGAATCCCAGCACCCACATGGCAGCTAACAACTGTCTGTATCTCCAGTCCCAGGGGATCCAACAGCCTCTTCTGACCTCCACGGGCATTGAACAACACGGGTGTGCTTACCTACATGCAGGCAATACACGTATACACATAAAATAAAAATAATAAATTAAAAAAAAGAAAAAAAACAGGAACTTATTTCTCAACTAATAACCAGAAGAAAAATCATAGATAGTAATGAACTTACTGGAATAATCCACCGGGGTGTGATCATGGATGATGAAGACACCTAAAACAAATTCCATATAGCTAGTTACTTTTAGGGAAGACTGGCTACTATCAAACTCATAACATTGTTTTTCTATTAAGAAATGCACTGCAGGGAATGCAATTCCCAATGAGCCTGCTTGAGCCAACATTTACTTTTTAATCAAAGACTCTTTAACAACATAGACAAAACACTTAACAAACTGTCATTATTTTGAAAATCCCATTAATCTGAAAATCTGAACTCAAGAATGCTACTGCTACTTTGAGGTCATTTATTATTCTTAAACATTTTTTTTTCCTCTTTTTTGAGACAGGGACTCCCCTGCAGCCTCAGCTGGCTTGGAACTCACTATGTAGGCGAGGCTGACCTGGATCTCACAGAAATCTGCCAGACTCGATCAAAGGTATGCACCATGATGCCTGACTATTCTTTTTATTCATTTATTTGCATGTGTATGTGCTCATGCATGCACATGTAATATGGTATACATGGGGAAATCATATGACAATTTGCAGGAATCAGTTCTCTCCTACCATGTGGATCCTGGGGATCAAATTCAAGTCATACACTCAGCAGAGGGCACCTTGTCACCCCGAGTCATCTTGTTGGCACCTTCCGGTTTATTTAATAGAACTTCCCCTCATTCCACACCCAAGTGTTCAGTTTCACATTTTATTTTCTAAAATGTGAGCTAATTGCAAATAATTACAGCCTTCTCGGTAGCACTGTAAACAATGGATTGTGACTAACCCAAATGAAGAGCACAAAGAAAGTACACAGAAAAGATCTGTTAGTACACAGGTCATTCTCCACCCTGCAGGCCTGAGGAAAGCAGCCATGAAAACAGCCACGCCATTCCTGATTCACACAGCCTCTGCTGCACTTTCTCAGAGTTTAGTTTTCTAGACCTTACTTGTATGTAAATTCTTACAATCTAATGACCCACTCTAATTTTATGGATTTTATAGATTAGTATTTGCACTAGTTGGTTTAGTTACTGACAGGAAAATTTTAATGTAAGTCCAAAATCTGAGTAAGTTATATAACTACCAGAGGAATGAAAATAGAAAGTGTGACTTTCCTACCATTGTTAAGAATATGCATTTAATAGTAGGAAATAGGAAGCAAAGAGAAAAAAAAAAGCAAAAAAAAAAAAAAAAAACCTAGTGAACACTGAACGGTTTGACAGAAATGAATCCTATAACCACCACAGTAAAAGGCTGTTAAACTGAGAGTAGAGAGATTCTCAAATTTAAGATTTTCAATACATATCCAACAACATACAGTTCACAAAAGGTCCATCTAAATCCTATGGCTACAGAAAGACAGAAAATAAGAGGATAAAAAATATTAGCAAGCAGGGGCTGGAGAGATGGCTCAGCCGTTAAGAACACTTGATTTTCTTGTAGAGGACCTGGGTTTGATTCCCAGCACCCACATGGCAGCTAACATCCATCTATAACTCCAGTTCCAGGAGATCCAATGTCCTCTTCTGGCTTCTGTGGGCTTTGCATGACATGTAGGCAAAACATTTATACACATAAAAAATAAAAATAATAAAAAAAGTAATTAGCAAGCAATACAAACTTGAAAGAAAGTTAGGGTATCAATTTTTCAATTTTTATCAAATGAAAGTGAAGACATTAAGAGAAAAAAAGAACAAACCACGTTTTTTTGCTTTGTTTTGAGACAGGGTCTCCCTGCAGCCCTAGCTGGCCTGAACTCTCTATGTAAGCAGGCTGCCTCTCTCTGCCTCCCAAATGCTGGGATTAAAGGGATGTGCTACCACATCTGGTGGTAAAAGATACTGTAAAGCGCTAAAAGGAGCTGAAGACAGTCTAAAAGTACAATCATGATGATCATATATATATATGTATGCGTATATATATATATAAAATCAGCATTATCTTCAAATTACATGAAGCAGTAATTGAAGGATCTAGTGATAGGTGATAAATGTAGTAATGTGACTGGAAACAGAGACAGCATACCCAGAAATTGCTAGATTATTCAGGAGAATGATGAGATGGACTAATGAGAGAATTCAGCAAGTTCAGCAGAAACAAGATTAAGAATTCAACAGTAGGAAATTAAATACCACCCAAAATACCAACAAAACTACAAAGTACTTAATATTTAATCCAATAAACAATATAGAAGACTTATAAAGGACATTTAGAGAGTCTAATAAGGATGAGAAAATGGGAGATACACTCATGAAAAGCAAAAATTCGCACTACAAAAATACTACTTATCACCAGGCATGGTGGTGCATGCCTTTAATCCCAGCACTCGGGAGGCAGAAGTAGGTGGATCTCTGTGAGTTTGAGGCCAGCCTGGTCTACATAGTGAGTTCCAGGCCAGCTGGGGCTACAGGGAGACCCTGTCTCAAAAACACCAAAACACAAACAAACAAACAAACAAATAAATAAACTACTTATCTACAAAAAAATATACAATCCATCAAGGTGTAAATAGAACTTGGGAGGAAATGACAAGCTGATTCTAAAATTTGTAAGTAAGAATATATCAGATATCAAAACATATTACAAAGCAAGAGTAACAAAAATACTATAGTATTAGAGTATAAAAAGAGAGCCCAATGGATCAGAGGCAGCATCACAAACTTAGAAAAAAAGGATGACTTAGCTAGTAGGTAATACTGGGAAAACTGGTCTTTTATGCAGATATATACAAAATTGGGTCATCTTAAGTCATTATCTGCTTTCCCCCCCCAAATAACTTTTACACTTTCCAAATAGGCTAAAAATAAAAATTAAAAAGCAAGTAAAATTGTATCTAAGAGAGAATGTAACTCTGTGATCTCAGGCATTGACAGATGAGGAAACATCTAAAAACCCTAGAAATCATGAAGAGAAAACTGAAGAACGTGTGACATCAGAATTAAAGGTTTCTGTTCAGTTAAGGGTGTAAGACATTGGTAGCCTCAGTACCTACCACAAATGATATGTGATAAATTCTTCATGTGTTAACACACAGATTAGGAGAAAATATTTTATGTTTTAAAAACAGTGCAGGCCTTTACTGGGGGAAGAAACCTGCAGAAAGGTTCTCTGCAAGAATCAGAGCCAGCTGTGCATTAACCAGCCAGGGTAGGTACAAGGAGAAGTGGGGAGGGAAGGAGGCTGAAAAGCTTCCTTCTTTGGCCCAAGATGAGACTGGCCATTGCTAGGAGTGAACAAATAATGATTAGTGAATAAAAGAATGCCAGATTGTGGATAAACATCCCTATGGCCAGCCATTATCAGGGGTCTTCAGAGAAGTAATCTCAAACTGAAGTCTGTAGCTGCTTCCCAAGTGCTGGGATTAAAGGTGTGTGCCACCACACTCGGCTTAACTTTATTTATTTATTTATTTATTTATTTATTTATTTATTTATTTATTAT